CTCAATTTCAAGAATTAGCTTGAAAAGCAGAACTTCAGAAATCGGTGGATTTGGATTGGGGGTTGGACTAGATGACCTTTGAAAATCCCTTCCAACCCAAACTACTGTAGAATTCTATGATTGCGGTGGCAGGCGGGGCTGTGCTCGCTCCGGCTGTGTAGCATTCGACTCTGCGATGGCGATTCCTGCGTTTGCTGCTGCTTGCCTTCTTGTGTCCCGCAGGCTGTGGGCACTGGTTTGTCTTCCCTACCTGTGTTTTCCCTTTGCCCTTCTTTTATTTATTTATTTTCAATTTGAATTTGTTTTTCATACGTACCAAACACATCTCCTGGTTATCAGCTGCGTATCTTCTTCTTCTCTGCAGTCAAGGCACGGTGAAACCCAGCGATTCTCCGCAGGGTTGGGGTTTTCTCTTCCAAAAATAGCATGAGAGGGTTTAGTCTGGACTTCGTGATATCCCTGTTGGCATGGGTGGACTTCTTCTGCCCAGTCATCGCAGCAGAAGTTCAGCCAGACCTCAAGGAGACAGGGTGGCTGGTGGCTAGATGAAAACTGACAGCCGAGGAGAGTTCTCCTTTTATTGAGTTAACTTGAGGGTTTTCAGTGTATAGAAAGCACGCACTGATATGTAAGAGGCTTAATTACAAAAAATCAATCACTATTAAATCTGAACAGAAAGTTCAGCTTACAGAAGTATAGCACTTGCGGAAGTTTTTACAGCAACAAAAAATAATTTAAATACTCTGCTATTAGCCCAATCTAGACGTTTCAAAAATGCTTACGTCCACAGAAAGTACTAAGGACTACCCAAAATATGTCACTTGAGTGTGTCTTCACCTTAGGATCAACCCAGATGATGGCATGAGGACAGCCTGCACCACATGCACATCTGCACGGTGAGTAGCATCCCGGTACCCCCAGCAAGGCGACAACTGCTCCCTGCAGTTGTTCTTGGTGAATTTTGAGAGAGTTACCTGCTCCGAGGGGCACGTGAGGAGCATTGAAAGACTGTGGTAAAAACTGGAGCTGTTTCGTTGTCCTTTGAAATGTGAATGGATGAAGGAGTAATATGGAAGATACTCAATACTCTCTTGCATAATAGATTATCCGGTCTGAAATATCCCCTAAATTAATGTGGGAGGCCTTGCATGGCCACCGGGCGAGCTGGCTGCAGAAGTTGATGCAAGCTGGACTGGGCTCTTCAGCAGCGACATGTCTAAGAGCTCCTGTATCCTGCACGTGGGGGATGCTTTACTCTGACAGAAGTTTTAAGTACCAACATTGTGGTAAACTGGGAAGCATTGGGTTTTGTGCCTGCAGGTGATAAAACTAAAATTAAAATTTGACCCTCCAGAGGTGGAGGGTTAATTTATCTTTTTTTTGAAAAGAGGTTCAGACCTGTGAATAAATAGAGCCTGTTGTGGGATTTCTCCTGTGCTCAGATAAACAACATCTTGTCTCTTCTTTGTCAATTGTCAGAATAATTTCAGGTCCCTGACTTGCTATCTAGGCAAACCACGCTTTTATGGAGGGAGAAAAAAGTGTTTTAATCGCACTTATTTGTGGGCCATTTTACCATTCAGGTCCTACTTGCAAAGGGACTGATCCAGGAATGAAGAAAACCAAAGTTTGGGCGAGAGTGTGGAGGGAGGATCATGGGGCAGCTACTGATGTGCATACACTGCTGTTAGTTCCCTTTTTTCTGTGGGTGGTTTTGTTTTTGACACATACGGAAACTGGGAACATCATGACCCTGAAGGAAATGGTGATCCATTTCCAGAAAGAGCCGTTGAGACGCCTGGGCCAGCAGCACAGGGAATGAAGCTGGGAAGAACCCGTGAGTCAACCTCGGTGGGTGGCAGGGGAAGCACGAGGGGTTGCCACGATCCTCCTGGCAATAATCATCCTCTCTTGTCAAGATGAAAGTCACTATTTCATTGTCTTTCTAAAAAAAAAAAAATACCCTCAGGATGATCTTTTTTGTGTGTCTGCGAACAGAAAGCCCTGTGGTTTTGGACCACAGCTCTCCTTGTGTTGGAACAGTGGAAATTTTCCCTGGCAGCGGCTGCAGCAGGGATGTGCTTTAGAGGGCATCAGCCTCTTCTGCATGCATTTACTCATATTTCAGTTGCCAATTTTTGAAAGAGCACTGCTTAAAAATATTTCAGGTCTGTCTTTCAGTGTTCTCTTAAAATCCCACTTAATATGTAGACAGTTGTGTTGGCCAAAGATCTTTGAGCCTCAGAGTCCTCAACAGCCTAAGCCCAGTCGTAACATTTTCTTAAAATTTTTGGGCTGCGCTTATAAAATTACCAATGCCGATATTGAAGAAAATACAGGTAATAAATGAAGCTGTTTAAAACCACACCGTGCCTTACACACAGGCTCTGCAAGCGGTGAAGCTATTGGTGTGACACTGCAAGGCTTCAAAAATAGATGTGCCCATGTACAAGGAAGAAGGGACTGTTCGTGGTTTGCGACCTAATTTCCTTCTGAAATGGTAGGAGGAGAGGTGAGATCTCGATGCAGAGAATTGCATCGGGCATGGCATGGTATGCGGTATGTCAGTTCTTCCGAAAGGAAGAGATGGGTGATTTTTGTGTGTGTGTGTAATGAACTGGAGGAAATTTTCATTCCCTCGTGACTCGAACTCGTTGTTTTTCCCCCTCGTGTCATGAGTCTTGATGCAGAGCCGGTGCTGAGAACTGACACAAAACTCCTAAATCCTGGAGGACTCCGAGATACTGAGTCTGAAATTTCTAAACTTCAAAAGCGGGGTAAAGTGGCTCCTTTGTGCCTGTGAGGAGGAAAAAATAGATATTGTTAGTTTGTTTGTTTCTTTGTCAGACCTTGGTTTCAGTACAGGGTGCGATATTGCTAAATACCACGCAGAAATGGTTAGGCTGTTTCTGGTGACGCACATTCATCCTGACATTCTTCCAGTAGTGATTTTCTGAAACGCTGATCTGATGGTTTCTGATTGCAACTTTGTCATGCACTTTTATATACCATTTAAATGTCAGGTTTCATGCATTTTATTGCCTTCCCTTTCTTCGTACTACTGTCTTGACTTGAGATACCTTCTTGCCTTGTACGCCCCTCCTGCACCTGTGCCTCCAAAGGAAGTTTTTCTGTGCCCTGATACCCTGTTTGAGCATCCAGAGAGTTGCCAGCTGCTCACAAGATACAAACCAACACTCCAGTGGTTTTGCAGCGATCGGTTCTGGACAGTTGGTTTATTCATATGAGCTCTCTTCTTTAATATTGCAGGTGTTATAGGTGTACTCCTATATATTTACTGTAATCCTGTGCTTTTATGGTATTTTATGTTGAGGATTGTGGCAAGATCTGCTTTTATGATATTTTATGTCGAGGATTGTGGCAAGATCATTTCAAAAAGCCCTTGCTGCAAGTAAGTAAAAAGAAAGAGTTTAGGGAATTGTGAACGCAAGAGGTGTTTGGAGAACCACTGTAGGAATGGTGGAGGACTCGTTAAAAGTGTGTAAATGTCGTTTAAAAAGAAAAAACCCACACCAGCAGGAACAAAAATTGCCTTAATTTTGGAAGTGTGTCTCTTGGTAAGATCTGTGAACAGTACAAATGAAGGAGGCTGAGCAAGGCTGGCGTAACGATGGAGAAACTGGGGGTCCAGACCCCCAAGGAATGGTCCTGGTAGATGCCTGAAGTGAGTGCTGCTGCCTCGGGTGGCTCCTTTGGCTGTAACCAAGGAAAGATCGACCTCTTTCTGCATCCTGTGGCGTAGGCAATCAATTCCAGGTGTGAACGCCTCATCCTTCCCACTTAGCGCGGTCTCTACCACTGCTGTTACACTGACTTGGATCTATTCGTCTGGTTGGAAGGAAAAACAGGTCGCAGGGTTGTATTTTGCTTGCTGAAGGCTAAGGCTGAGAGTTTCGCTTTCTTGACTAAAATGTGTTGGGTTTTTAATGATGTATAATAGATTGAATTGTTCAGTAAAATAGTGAAACTGAAATGTAAAGAGTCACAAACATAAAAACACCGTTAGCGGAAGGATGAGACTCGCAATTTGTACTAGCTATAACAAAGATAAATATTTTTTTTCATCTCCATTTTGAGTATTTGTTAAAAGTCTCACCGTTCCTACTTGTTCTTATATTTATAAATAATATAATAAATATATTATATACAACATAAGCCGTAGAAGATGCTACAGTTTGCAGTGTCCCCTGCCTTCCCCCTCCGTCAGGCTCAGCATGTGCTTTACAGCCTAGTCCAACCAGCAGCAGTTTAACATTTGGACTGTTAAATGAGACGTGTTTAAAACACACGTTGTGTGTCTCGAGTCAGTGAAATCTGTAGAAAGGG